ATCTAAATGTTCACATTTGTTCCACCCACTAGCGGTACTACGTCAAGCTTCCGTTCGTGCCCCTAGGCACAGACCCTTCTACTATTTTATTTTATTTTTCTATTTTACTTATAAATAGAGCTTAAAATTTTTCGAAGAAATGATTAAGCAAAGAAGGCATATAAAAAAGGTGGGGCTGAAAGCGTGTGTCCGAAATATAACTTGAACAGTCCTTAATGGAAATGCTCAGAAGTTCTCTTCCCTGATGTTCTCGAAGCTATCCTGAAGTTTTCACAGTTCTCCGGACATTCTGCTCTGAATTTAATGGAACTTTAGGATAAACAGCAGTCGTCCAGAAATCAATGAAACTTTCTGTACGATCTCGTAACTTCCTCAAATTTCCTTAAGCCGGTGGTGTAGTGGGAAGCGTGATTGCCTCTCTCTCCAAAAGGCTTGCATTCAATCCCAGACGGTGCCACCGGGATTTTCTAAGGCATAAAATCTCTGATCACGCCTTCTTTCGGAAGGGATGTAAAGCCGTTGATCCCCGGTCCATTGTTGATGGGTCCATAGGCAGAGTTCAAGGGTGCTTCCCTGAAGTTCCCGCAATTTTACTGATCATGGTCTGCGCTGAGTTCTCAGAACTACGAGCTACGAAACTTCCATTGAGATCTTTAAACTTACCTGAAGTTTCACATCTTCCGAAAGTTCCTGCAGTTTTCTTGAAGTTAATGAAACTGCCCTGAAGCTGATTGATTTTCACTGAAGTTCTAGAAGATTTCCTGAAATCTATTGAACTACCCTAAAGCTATCGGAACTGACTTTAATCTTCGATGTTGTTGTTTAGGGCGATCTTGAAGGACTTGGAACCGCTCTGAAGATTTCATAACGTCCTTTGAATATCCATGAAATTCTCAGAACTTCTTGACATTTCCCACAAGTTTTCCGATGCTAATGAACATAAAGTTTTCTAAATGTTATATATGCTCTGACATTTATGTAATTATTAGAATTTACCCTTAAGGAAAAAAAATACGTAAATAATCGACTTTCCAGGACTTTCAAATTATTTTAAAGAGAAAACCATAATTTAAAAAGTCACAATGATATTAAAACACGCCTGTTCGTACACAAAGGAGTCTTCAGCGCTACCGTTACGTCATCTGCATCGTAATTCATCAATATTCGAATTAGGTCAACATCGAATCCATCTTCGTTGCTAAATTTGACAAAAACCTCCTACATTTCCGGGACAACGTACTTCCTATGGATCAACTATGAAAGGCATCGGCGAAGCAGTGGAAGATCTCGTTTTCATCATCTGCACGGCGAATGAGAACGACCCAAATTTGAGTTTAGTTCACTCATAATCGCCAAAAGTGCAGGAACTCAGCGATGAGTAAAATCTGTCCTGTGGAAAACCTAAAAAATCTGCCGGAAAATGAGGAAATTTACGAAAATTTTAGTCAGTCTCGGAGTAGTACCAATAGACTGAGTGAATCCAATCATTACTTTTCTCAAATTCAGGAATTTTTCCCTGGAAAAACCTGGGAAAACATGAGGCAAATTTACTCATCGCTGAGTTCCTGCAATTTTGGCGATTATGAGTGAACTAAATTCAAATTTGGGTCGTTCTCATTCTCTAAGAGAAAGAGGTGACAATTGGCTTCTTCCTCTTTTATTTCTATCTCTATCTTTATCTTTATCTATCTCTATCTCTATCTTACGCACATGAAATCGGCCAATCAGGAGCTGGTTCACGTTTGACAGAAAAGTGGTTCATTTTCACCCCCGTATTGTCACCTCTTCTCTTATGTCTGGTGTGCTTGATGAAACGTCATGAGTGAAGAATTTTATTGAAATAGCTTATAGTTCAAAGTTTTCTTTTAATAAAGTGCATTGAATCTCTCTATGAACAATGTATGATCAAGTTCAGTGAAGAAAATCATTTACCCGTATGTGAAGATCATTGATAATGTGCACCTAAAAAGAAAAACAGAAAATTTACCAGTACCTGAAGACTCACTGGAAAAAACATACATACCTGTTAAACCCAAGCAGGAGAAAATAACTAATAAATACCTAATTCTGATCTGATACCAACATTTGGTTTTGATCAGCATGACATAAGAGGTACAATACCAAAAAATGCATTCAAAATATACTTTAAATAACAAAAACTGATATTTGGGGTATGTTTTGGTATTGTATTTGCATAATTTGGTATTGGAATGGTATTGAGGGAACATTTTTGTTTTTTGTATTATTTTTTGGTATTTTACCTCTGATGTCCGGTACCAATTCAAGGTATCGAGATATTCGTTCCTGCTCAGGAACCTACATGACAACTGTGCTGCTTTCGCAATATCAATGTCAACACATTTTTTTAATTCTTGTTTAGGGTAGGTGTACCAGTTATGGCTATACGTTCCTAATATGGTGTGTTCCAATTATGGAATTCCCATAGGCCATAATTGGAACACACCATAATATGAACGTATAGCCATAACTGGTACACCTACCCTATTACATTCATACATAGAGGACGTACCAGAGAATCTAGGGCAGCTCAATTAATTTCAAGGAAATTACAGAAACTTTGGATCCAAAGCTTTCGAAAAGTTCCGCGAAGTTTCGAGGGCTTCAGGAAAAGGTTGGAAACTTCTGGGAAGTTATGTGAACACCAGAATACATTGGCAGAGCCAAGAGTTCTGTCTGGGGAAAGGTTAGTAAAAATTACGAAGGATTGAAAAAAAGAAGCTATTTTTATTGAAGTACCAGTGACATCCTGGTAATCAATTTCAACTCTATGGAACGTACTTCGATTAAACGAGGAAACACTTTTTAAAAAAGTATTGGGCAAGTCGGAAGAAGCTTTCAGAAAATGTTAATAGAAACTTTCAGAAGAAATCAGCAGACATTTCCGGGGCATGTCACCAAGGCCTCTAGGGGAACACGAAAGGATTTTTCAAGATAAATCGTTATAATTGACCAATGTCAGCCAGAAGAAACTTCCAGATCAAGTCTAGAAAAACCGGAATTACCTTCCAGGAGAAATTGCAGGACAGTCGGTGGAAGTCGTAAAAAACATCCTACACTCAAAAAATTTCACACGTTTGATCGAAGTATTTAAAAAAAAATTAAAATCTTTCACTATCTATTCAAGTGTATTGCACGTTGAATCACGCTACTGTTCAAAACAGATGGATTTAAAGTGTTTTGCATTTCAATACGATGTGAATTGCTTGCTCAGAAAGGTAAACATCGATAACAAGAGTTGTGACTTTATCCTATCAACCTGCCTCATATATGAGAACAACCGTGGCACAGTGAGATCGAACGAAGACTTCGGCAGCAGCATACCCCAACAATCCATGATCGAATCCCAAATCAGACCCATTAAAAATGTGAAAGCTCTGGCCTCTGGCAGTTTTGTTTATATATTTGTCGATTCATTTTTAGAGTCGGTAAAGTAGAATTCGATAAAGTAGAATATTGTAGAATATTGAACTATGGTGTGCAAAGCTATTGATATCACCATATGAGGCACATAGAATCCAAGTGTGTCACAATTCAAATCCATAGTGTTCAGGCATGGTTCATAGCATAAGATTCACGCATGAAATAGATGTGTTTCACAATATGCGCAAAATTAAGTGTGAGACACATGATGATGACGTGTGGAATTTTTTGAGTGTAGTAAAACTGATAGCGGCACCGGTGGCGTAGTGGTAAGCGTGATTGCCTCTCATCCTAAAGGGCCTGGGTTAAATCTCAGTCGGCGCCGCCGGGACTTTCTGAGGCATAAAATCTCTGATCTTTCATAAAGGAAGTAAAGCCGATTGCCCCGGTCCATGAGTTGATGGATCGATATGAAGGGTACAGGTGTGAAAACTGCCTCCCTGACGTCTATAGTATTGGTACTCAGTACGGAATACAAGATCGACGGAGAACAAATCAAGGAAAACAAAATCCTAATAAAACTGGAACAAGCTTAGTTGGAAGAATCATCCGAAGAAAGACAAAAAAAAATACTTCCGAGGGATGTCTAAAGTATGTTTCAAATGAAAACAGTAAACAAATCAGGATAAATCGGAGAAATCAGGAAAAAATCTGGAGTTGTCGGATGACACTTCCTGGAGTAGTTCGATTTAATATCTGGAACAAATTGCCTTCCACAGAAGTCGAATGGAACTAATGGGGGTAATTCCATACGTCTGTCAAGTTAAATCCACAAACAAGCAGACGTAACTCTTGGAATAAAATTATCTTCAAAACATAGTACCGCCAAACATAGGACTTCAGTAACGACATCTCGCGGAAAACAAGCTGGCTCGCTGATTCACAAACAAAGCTGCATGCAAGAAAAGCCGAATATGTAGAAACGTCCAAGTGAGGCGATGCCAGCGCTGCGACGAGTAGTTCACGGAAACGATAACATTCAAACCAATCGTTAAATGCGCAAACGATGATCCAGAATGAAGAGCTACGGCTGTTTGTCTGTGGTAAAACCATATATTAATATAAAATTGTCGAATTTATTTAATAGTTCATGGAATTTTGTTCCACAGAAGATAAGAATTGATTTTCCTTCGGCTTAAATAATCCCATGGAGTGCTTGTTTGAATAAAGTACGGTGAAAGAAAGGAAGAAATAAGAATGCTGTGCGCTTGAGAAGCAGAAACAGAACAGAGAGTCGCCTCCTAAAAAGAACTCACTGCGACCTCCCAGCTTAGGGAAAAAATCCGACACTGCATCGAATGTAGAATAACTTAACAATCCAACTGTGTATTTCAAGTCCTTCGGCGCTGTAGGAGTTGCAAAGATTTTAGACCTACTTAAATCCACTATTGAATCATATCGAGTCCAATACCTGGATTAAGAGATTTGAGTGGTGAGACAAATTTAATGAGAAAAGCCATCCGTGAACCATGTCCAAAATATCATCTTTTTCTAGATTTAACATGGTTAGAATTTCTCTCCAAATCCAAAAAATAACAGTCGAACAGTGATTGGCACGAGTAAACTTTATTCTTGGAATATGGCATCGAAAATACTGAGATGCAGCTGGAGCAATGATGATACGTACCCATTATTTACTAATGTTCACCTAGAAGGTCTTTTGAAGACGAAGAAATTTCATAAAATTCAATAGACATTTGACTCTTTTATTATCATTACTTCCATGGAATAGTGAAAAGATAGAACTTAGAAGATAAGTCTTAAAATCAGGGGTACCCCCATTTAATTTACTCTCCTAAAAACCAGTGCATGAAAGTTTAAATACTACCTACTTGATAACTCCGTGTGCGCAAGTTCTAACCAATCGACACTTTTAATCTAATGAGCAATATCAGCACTACCCCCACCACGGTGTTCCGTCAGGCCCACATCTTTGTACCCCTTGAGCGCAATCTCCATCGACAGCTTCCCGGCCAGAATCCCGTGCTTCTCCATCACGTTCCAAATCGTTGCCATAAATATGAAGAATATGACGATTCCGCACAGCAGAAACTTCAGTAACAGGTAGGCGCTCTTCAGTCCATAGGGAGCTTCCAGTTCGAGCATGTTGAGCAAAACGATAATCACCCCTATCGCCATCAGCGAGTAGCTCCGCCTGTGTGATTCCAGCTGTTTCAAACTCTCGTTACAGATAACAATGCTTTCCCGCAGTGCCAGGATCGCTTCCTGGTCTCTATTTTCACACTTCCCATTACCTTCGCCACCGGCACAGGCCATCAAATGCTGAATCGCCGACGAGCCGGTCTTCTTCAGAATGATCTTCGCATACACAGCTTCGTGATCGGAATAGCTAATCTGCTTACCCGGAATGCGCTCCGGCAGCGGAAGTCGATGCTCCAACAGCCGACCCTCAAAGTTATCCCCGAATCGATACATGATATAGTCGATCCGCTTACCGAGCGGGCTTTTCTTGGCAGCTTCCAGATCGGTGTAGCTGTTCTTGCCGATCTCGTTCGTTCCCATGTTTTCGGCGGCGAACATGTTCTTATCGTATGTATCGACCAGCATCGAGTTGGTCTGCAGCACCCGGAAGGCCAAATCACCCGGTTCGGAGTTCAAGTCTCCGGCCAGAATCTGCAGCACCGCACTTCCCCGGGTGCTTTCGATGAATTGAGCAGTGTCGTAGGCCTGAATCACCCGATGGGCCATGTAGTCGTCACATTTCCGGTCGTACTCGGCGTGCAGCTGCGGGAGATGATGGAGGAAAAAATTCACTTTCAGTAGGATTTGTAATCGGTGATAGTAATGGAATAACTTCAATCCCAAACTTGCTAAACATGTTTTTTTTTTATAAATTCCTATATCTTTGTTCAAAAAATGTGTTTCAAGCTGCTTTTTGATTATTTCTTTATCATTTATGGCCAATAGTTCATATTGCTGAAGAAAATTGGGCTAGAATGGTCTCATTGTTGAGATTTAGCTATTAAAATGGTAAAATATTTGATTTTTGTTAAATAATTAATTTGTACAGGCTCAATCGAAAAAAACTTTACAGAGCCATGTTATTATTTGCATTATACATTATTAATGCCTTAAATCTAAAGTTAAAGGAATTGAACCGAATACTCGTGATCTTCTAGAGCTACCAAGTTGTTTTATGATGACATTATGTTTTTTGCTTATTTTAACAGCACTATGCCTGGTGCAGACGGATTCTGAGCGTTTTTTTTTAGTTTTAAATATGTAGTTTTGAAAGGAATGTTGCTCGCGGACATTGCAGAAGTGTGGTTTGCATCTCACTGCAGTCTGAAAAATTATCGAGAAAATTTACCTAAGAAAGAAATCGATTAAAACCAAGTAAACCGTACCACTGAACTGTCATCTGATTGAGGTTAACCCCGGCGGTGCAAAACCTTATTGTCACTAGGTGCTCTCGAAGTGAAGAAACATTACTCACCCCCTAGTGATGAAAACAAATGCTAGAAATAAATTGCATCGAATTAAGCAATGAAAATTGTATATATTGACCCGGGAAAAAAAATGCAGGAACGTTCCAGAAGTTCTGAGAAATTCAGTGAAGTCCAGAAACAATCAGGGATGTTCAGAGCTCTTTAGAGCAATGTCGGAAACTTTGAGACTTACAGGAAAGTTCAAAAAAGTTTACACAAGTTAGCAAAACTTCAGACAAGTTAAGTTGAAGCTACGTGAAGTTTGGGGCAGTTCTGAGAATTTCAGAGCAGTTCCATTAATATCAGGAAAATTGCAGGAACTTCAGCACATATTCGAGCAGGTAAATGATTAGCAACTAAATTCAGAAAAATAGCGGGAAGCTTCAAGATGTTCCAACAATATAAGATAGTCCAGAATAAGGGGAGTTAATCCGTGAAACACACGGAAGTGCATAAAATGTGGGAAATTTAGAGATCCTTAGGACAGTTTAATTAATTTCAGGGTAATTCCAAGAACATCATCTGAGGAGTAGTGAGAACTTCAGGATGGTCCACAAAATAGGTAGGAAAAAGTTCCGAGGTTTGAAGGAAATACAGAGGATTTCGGGGAAGTTGCATTAACAGACTGCGGGATAGTAACAGAAGATCCGAGAATGGCAGGCACTTCAAAGAAGCTTCGAGTAATTCAAAGTGGTTCCTCCATCAGCTTCAAGGAAACTGCAGAAACTTTCAATTACTTCCAAGCACTTCAGGGATATCAAGAGTACTTAAGAGAAATCAAGAAAACTTCAGAGAAGTTCAGAGAACTTGAAGAAAATTTAATTAAGGTCCGAGAACCTCAGGAATGCTAGATCTAGAGATCTTCAAGCCAGTCCAAATAGCTAAAGTAATGTCCAGACTTTCGGAGCATTTAAAGATCTGTAAAGGTTTGTTTCGATAAATTTCAGACAGCTCGAGAAGCTTAGGGACAATTTCTGGAAATGTTAAGAAGTTTCAGAAATTTGAGGAAAGTCCAAAGATATCCCGACCAATTTAGAAAACTTGATACATATTTTGGGAACTTTACAGGAGCCTAGAGATTTTCAGGGAAGTTTGAAGATTTATAGGCCAGTTCTATTTATTTCAGGACAGAGCTTGAGATTAAATGGGAGAACATCACGAAACATCAGAGAACCTTAAAATAACTTCCATAAAACTCAGGATTTTTTTGAAAATTTAAGGAATATTCCGAGATTCATAGGGAAGCCCAGAGAACTCAGAGGAGTTTAGAGATTTTAAGCCTGTTTCATTATTTTCAGGGATATTCCGAGTGCTTAGGGGAAGATCAGAGAACTTCAGAGCAATTCCATTAATTAATTGCAGATTAATTAAAAAAATGTGTAAGTGCTAGCGTCTTTGTGTCGAACAATTTTTAGATTATCATAGTTTTGTTTCCGTTAAATTGTTGAAAAATAATGGTAGGTAGTGTTCGTGAGTGTTGCGCAGTTTTCTCCGTTGCCAAACTCACTGGTAGGCAAAGATAGCACAGCTTACTGTAGAACCCAGCAATCCACCCCACCGAAACTTGTAAAACCCGCCGCCAGATGGACAAACAACTGCCTGTTGGGAGGCCTCACAGGCGATGACTCACTCAACTTCCAAATTAAAATCACTGATCGTTATACCACCAGGAAAAATGGTTGATCATATCAAGCTAGCTAAATTTGAATAGTGAACCAGCTTTCAAAAGCGGAAATTACTAGTGGAAACCATAGCTAACAGTGAAAAGTGTTAAGAGAGAGTGACGGATAGAACGACAGCAGGTAAAACACAATAACTCTCATTTTGGTTAAAATGGTCCTAATGCCAAATGTGTTTGACCATTAGGACCCCGCTGTTTTCAATACAGTCTCCAACAGGTAGATGCATGCTACGATGTGTTGTTTTAGGTAGCATGCTAAAAAGTCTGGAGTATCCGTTTCCTTGATCTCTATTAAGCAATGTTGATGGATTATGTTTAAATATTTCTAAACTTTCAGCTACGTCTAATTTCCAAGGCGAAGATACAGTCCGCAGGATATTAATGTTATCCTTAGTCAAATTGTGCCCCTTTGTAACGATATGTTCTGCAACTTTGGATTTAAATTCATAATGAAGTCCTTTATCCATTTCTTTGCTAGTCTTTTTTACCTCTGCGATGTGTTCCTTAAACCTTGTTTCCAAAGTCCTTTTCGTCTGATCAATGTAGATTTTATTGCAATTTGGACAAGAGATTTTGTATACTCCGGCTTTCTCTAAGACATTTATTGAATCTTTTGTTGATCCTAACAGTGACTTCAGCTGATTTGTCCTGCTGCTGAATACTAAATCTAGGCCAAAACTTCTTAACTTTGAAATCAATGTTTTGGTAATGTTTTTGTCGAAATTCACCGCTACACGTTTTAAACCCTCAGTTACTGGTGTAAGAGTTGCCGAAATACGCCTAAAATGATCCCTTGTTCTTTTATCGATTACTGCTTGAATTGCTTTTTCTTGATACCCATTAAGTCTAGCGATTTCAAAATGTGAGCTATTTCCTTTGATTTGCCTGTATCGCTAAGAGGAAGAGTTTGCATCCTGTGAACCATGTGGTGAAAAGCGGCCATTTTGTGTTGATGGGAATGGTTTGAAGTGCTTGGTATTACTCTCTTTGTGTTTGTTGGTTTCCTATAGATTTCGAAATTGAACGAAGACGTTTCCCTGATGATGAGAAGATCTAAGAAGGGGAGTTTGCCTCTTCTTCGTGAGTAAATTTGATGTCCTTGTGAACGTTGCTTATGGCCTCCAAAGTTTTTGATAAATCTTCCCTTTTGACAATGCTAAAGATGTCATCCACGTACCTATACCAACATTTGGGCAACAAATTCCTATCCTCCAGAGTATTTTCTAGGTTAGCCATGAACAATTCACAGAGAAGAAGTTCAAGAAAATTCTGAGGTGAGATCCAAGAAAAACCCAAGATGAACTCGAGGGTAATTAGAAAGGGGTTCTGAGGAAAGCTTCAAGGAATTCTGAGAATAAATTCAAGGCATTCTGAAAAGGAGGGAAATATTGGGAGTTTCCAAGGGGAGAATCCCAAGATAGTACTGTGCAGAATTTCAAGGCATATCTGAAATGCATTGCATGCGCAGTTTAAGTAGAATTATGAAAAGAAACTTCTGCGAATTTTTTGGCGATTCTAAAAAATTCGAAAAGCTCCCGGATTTTTTTCTGGAGAGATTTTGTCGACTGTTATTAAGAAAATTTCAAAGGAATACCATTGAAAATTTTAAGATTATTTTAGTTTTAGTGGTATTCTAAAAAGAACTCTTAGAAGGGGAATGATTCTAATGTACTCGAGAATTTTCCGAAGATATTCTGTAAAGTGTTTAAAAAGATTTTCAAGGTAACAGGCAAAAACAAAATTGGCATAGACAAATTTTGAAGATTGGGCTGAAATGTTCTGAAGTCATCAAAAAGGTATTCTTGTTTAGATTCACGCATATAAACTCATTAAAGTACACACGCTTCAATCATTTTACAATTTTAAAATACAGAACTACTGAAGCACTGCACAAAAAGAGGCTGTTAGGATTTCGTCGATTTCATTACTCTGACTTTGACAGTTCGAACGATTGCACTAACACCATCCATACTGACTTGACCTCAAATCCTACTCGGATCTATTTTATTCGTTTTCGGTTTTTAAGCTGGGTCAGAGTCAACCCTGACGACTCTGACCCAGCTTAAAAACCGAAAACGACATAAGAAGCTGAACTACCATCGATGAACCGACATGATACAGGTGGAAAGGCTTAATGAAACTCCTCAAACTCCGGAAGCTTTCAGGAAAGTTCTGCGAACTATAGAGAAGTTTGCAAACTTCAGTCAGCTGCAGTGATCTGAAAGTTTTGGTAACTTTAAAAATGTTCTGCGAACTTTAGTGTAGTTTTGTGAACTTAAGTGAATAAGTTCAAACTTGAGGAAAGTATTGCGAACTTCAAGGTCATTTGACACATACGGGAAATTCTACGAACTTCAAAAAGTTCTACGGACTCCAAGGAAGTTCTACAAACTTCAAACAGGTTATGATAATTTTAGGAAATTGCTTCAAACTTTGTGGACGTTCTACATTTTTTATTCAAGTTCTGCAAACTTTAGGGGCGTTCTGCGAATTTCAGGATGTGTTTTACAAACTTCAAGGAAATTTTGCAAACTTGAGAGAGCTTCTGCTGTTAACACATGTAAGTTCTACAAACTCCAGGAAAGTTCTACAAACTACAATGGAGATCTCCGCAGTCAAGGAAAACGTTATGAACATCAATTAAGTTCTGCTCACCCCAGGAAATTATTGCAAACTCCAGAGAAACAGAGAAGATCAAGAACCTTTAGAGAAGCTCATTGAACTTCAGGGAAGCTCTACAAACTTCAGGAAAATTCTGCAAACTTTCAAGACGCGCTTCGAACTTCAGAGAAGTTCTTCAAGCTTTATGAAACGTACTGCAAACTTCATTGAAATGCAGTGAATTTTTTCACTTTTTGTGAGTATCATGAACGTATTGCAAGCTTCAGGAAAGCTCAATGAGCTCCTGGTAAGATCTACGAACTTAAAGAGTTCTGTAAACTCTAGCAAAGTTGTATAAAAGCTTTTACAAAAATCAGAAAAGTTCTTCAAACGTCAAGAAGGTTCGGAAAACTTGAAGGACATTCTGCGAACCGCAGGGAAAATCTAATATCATCATGAAAATAATATCTTAGAATTTCAAGAAAATTTTTACAAATTCAGAGACGTTTAGGAATATTCTGCGCAGCGTGTGAGGTGAAGTGACAGTGAAGTGATGGTGAAGTGACAATTGTCACCTCGGGTGAGGTGACTCTCCATTTAATTTACACGGAGAGTCACCTCACCCGAGGTGACAATTGTCACTTCACAAGTGAGAGCGTGTCACCTCACCTCACACGCCGCGCAGAATAGGCCTGGTTAAGTTTGAAGAACTTCATCGAAGTACTACGAAATTCAGTAAAATCTAAGACCAGGGATTTAATTAGAACATAGTTTCCATCAGCTGCCTCGTTGGATCATCCGTGGAACAACTTCCACTATGGAATGTGATAAGGACATCGTAAAAATTAAAGAGTAGTGGGGGTCACAAAAATGAGCGTTTGCCACCTTAAACAATATGCTGAGTACGACTCTGATGTTGACATAGGAATACCGAATAAACATGTATTCCCTAGTCACAGAATAAAAATTATGCAAGACGTTTGATGGTTGCTTGAACATAAACAGTGTAAAACCAAAAATGGAAATCATGATCTTAGGTTTATTGAAAGAAATGTTAACGGGATCAAATTACAGAACTTTGAACCCATTAGCTTGTTGATTCATGCATGAAATAACCGAATGTTTGCATCCTTATGAAAATAACTCAAAATTAGTTTTGTTATTCATGTTTCAGCGTACAAAGCACACTACATTAAATAAATCATTCAAATCGAAGGTATAACTATTATATAACACAACTGGTTTATTTCTTGTCAAATGAGCGCTTTCTTGTGCTTCTTTAAAAAGCAAAGGTATTCTATTTAATATTCATTGTCTTAGAAGTGCATTGTTTGCTTATACTTTTTGGATACTTCAACCAAGTAGAATGGAAGTAACCGAAATATATTAATCATAGTACATATGTAGCGAGATGATGGTAGCTTGCAACACACAGTCTGTAAAATCTATTGAATTATGTACATTGTACATGGCCACTAATATTTGAACTGCTATTGAAGTCACAGTGTGGTTAAAAAAACATAATTGCCATCTTCTCGTCCACTCTTTTTTCGGACATTCGTTTGATCCAACCTCCCTTTTTCTACCCACACAAAAAATTCACTCCACCAAACTCTCGTGTATACTCACATGAGCAACATATACATGCACCAACTGGTCATTAACGGCAATCTTGGAAAATCCTACACCCTTTCCCCCGAACCAATCGCCGTGCTGAATCCGGTGCACATACCCATTGACCGACCACGCATGGAAGAAGGCCGACACGATAGGGTATTTGGACAGCAGCGTCAATCCGGATCCAACTACCCCGCTAAAAACAAACAGGCACAATTATAAAATTCCTTATCACCAGACAAAGCGAAGTATTCGAACCATGCTCACCTGTAGAAGTAATGAGCAAATGGAAGCACACCTTCGACCCGTTTCTTCAGATACTGATAATCGCTGTCCGACCAAACTTCCTGCAGTGATACAATATCGTAGTTGCCACTAGCCAACACATCTCCGATGGCCTCAACCCGTATGGCTCGGTCCTTGGACACGTGCGGGATTCCCCTGTACAGTACAATAAGTTAAAAACGTGCAACAATGATTCGAGACACGAAGAAGCAAAAAGAATCAATTACTCACCAAATGTTCAAAGTTAAAATGCTCAGTTCGAGAGCCATCCTCTCATTGCTGTATCCGACGAAACGATTATCTAATTAGCTACCACTACGACGCTGACTGCGGGTTTGACCTCCGGACGATTCCAAAACCGAAAGCGAACGATTGATCTTATGGTAAAGAAAAATCAATTTTTCATCTCTCCGTCCACGAACAGAAAAGCTACGCACTGAAAACAGTCATTGATTGAGATTGTTTTTGTTTTGCCTTACTTTGCAGCAGCATCAGAGTCAGCTAGATACGCCTGGGGGGGGATGTGCTGTCAAATCAGCCTACTGATCATCTTGTATGAAACTGGTTCCAAACGTAAACAAACCCTGTAGGTTTCTTATGGCTTGTTTACGTTTGGAACCAGTTATGCGAGGTAGGCGAAGATTGTTCGTATTTGACAGCCACCTCCCCCCCTTGAGATACGCAGCAAATCAGGAACTGACAGTCTGTGCCAGTAAGCATCCGATATCACGAACACAACTGCAATGGGAAGTCGGAACGTTCCCGAATCGGTCGAAAGTTGAGTGCGCACTCACTCCATGTGTGATTTGAAGGGACCGTTAAATTGAGTGAACCACTCTGACCGAAGCACGTGGTGACGTCGGGAGTGTGATACGAGCATGTAACAACATGGGTAAATGTTTGGTTGAATAGTGTGTTGATTGATCGTTATCCTCATGACATACATGGCTTACGGTATCGTCATCGGTTGTTCAGAATTAACGATCCATTCTTGGGGACAGGGTTGTTTCCACTCACTTCGCTCTAAAAAAATATTTTTTTCGGATTTGAGTAATAGTTTCCACCATCAAATCCAATAGACCGATAAACCAGTTTTGCGGTAAAGAGATTTTCGAAAAATCGTCGATTGCTCTTCAAACCTTGTTTCTAGCGGTGAGAAAATGTCTACATTTTCCGAGACATTTTCTTCTTTTTAGTAAAAATGACATTATGTAGAAATAATATATCGGACAAATTGCACCATTATTGATATTTTTAATAAAAAAAAATAATTTCGCCATACATTCTCAAGTCAATTTTCCACCAGCCCATCGGTTAAAGCCGTTAAGGTTCAATTTACTTTGATGCTTTTTGGAAAAGCAGTTTTTTCCGACGCATTATTTCAGATTGCACGCTCGCACTATTCGATTCTTTTTGATATTTTACACAAAATGACGCGAGCTTTTTGCAATCTAAAAAAATGCGTAGAAAAAAACTGCTTTTGGATTTTTAAAAAATGTATCAAAGTAAATTGAACCTTAAAGCATGCCCACCCTCTGGTGGTGAGTGCTGTCAGAAGCAGCATGAAATACCTAACTAGCTCGAAGTGAACGCTCACTAATTATAAAATCGCTGATTGCGACTCTTTGAAAGCGAAATTTACCGGTTTTATGTGTCAAACACATACATCCCAACAAACAATTTGAGCTGATTAACAGCTGAATAATCTATTTTTTAGCTGAAGAAGCTTATTTTTGCCTGAATAAGCTCTTATTAAACATTCAATGTTTGTTGGGATACTTATAGCGAATTTGCTTATCATCCAGGTTGGAACCAGTTCCAACCCGTGCAAAACGGAGCTAATAAATAAATATTTTTTCTAGATAGAGCTGGAATTAGGGCCTAACAGCTTTTGTAAACAATGACTTCTATCCAGTGGCGTCTCGTCCATATGTGCACCTCGTGCACTGCACAGTCTCAAATTTTCAAAAAGTAAAATTTATATTTCATAAAAATTAAGAGGCAAAAATTTAATACTCAATTAAAACCATTTTTGTCCGCCCTATTTATTGGTTTCATATGGATAGTAACTGAATTATCCACCACATCACTGGATAGTAGCTGAATTGTTTACCACATCGCTGCTCAACCTCCGTTTTACCCACCACTGAAAGAAATGTACGTAAAACAGAAGCGAGGCATAGCGATCTTGTTTTCACGTACGGGCACGCTGGGATTTTACCACGTGCAGACCAATGAGCTGGATTACCGAGGTGAAGCAATCACTCACACAACCACTGTACGATACACGCAAGTACACGCAAGTAGTGACGTCACTACTTGCGTTTACGTTGATTTTTTGGTTTACTAATACAACCCTATTTCACGATCTGCGCCACCTCTCTCTGTACCTCATTGCGTGCAGACAACACTCTTTTTGGGCTTCTATGGCGAATGTGCGACACAAAACAAGCAAGGAAAATATGCCTTCGTTCTACCAAAGCCACCGCATGCTAAGTTCTCCCAGTCTGAGCACTTATGCTTGTGCACCAGAAACGCTCGTATTTACAACCAGATCAGTTGTATATGTATTGAAGTCCCGTAAGCATAATTGCCGCTGTGTTAGTGTTTATTTTGTGCACTTCTATCTTTGCACAGTTTAAAGAGAAGAGAATAAATTGGCACGTATAGGCTACGTCACATTTGAGTTTCTCTCTGAATTGATTGAATCTTGGAGAGCCGTCATTCGTTGTATACCTACCTACACGCACACATCGAATTTTTAAATTTTTGAATTTTCTCACTACCATGCAGCGCTGCCATTTATACAGATTTATCTGTATTATACAGATTTTTTAATCTTAATACAGACCCGATACAGAATACAGATTTATCACAGATTTTTAAATTACAATACAGATTTATACAGATTTTTATAAAATGCTTGAGAAAAAAAAATCTATATCAAAATAAGTTATCAAGCAGTTCTCACTAATATCAATATATGTTATAATTTTGATATTCTTCGCATATCTTTAAGCTCTCATTTTTGTTCTGTTAGCCATCAACTCCATCAAAATGAAATCAATTTGAGTTATCAGGAATAATGAAAACAGCATAGTTCTTGTTTTCATTTTGTTCTCACCCTCTGCTCGGGAACCTATCAAATTTCCATCGACAATTCAGTGCCAACATTTCAAAGGGGCGTAATTGCATTTGTAAACAATGGCTTTAGCCGTTGATTTCTCGCAAATAAAAGCTCATTTATGAAAATTGATTGCACCAACAGGTAGAGGAATGTTTCCTCTTCTAGCTAGCATTGTTAATTTGGAGGAGTGAGCTTTTATTTGCGAGAAATCGACGGTTAAAGCCTTTGTTTACAAAAGCAATTACGCCCCTTTGAAATGTTGGCACTGAATTAATCATGTTATGGTGTTTTTGACAGCATTCACAACCAGAGGACCAACCGCTTTCGGATGCATATGGAGCTGGTAGTAAACGATTTGAGATTGTATGGGGATTTACAGTATTAATTGAATATTTTCAATATAAGCATGTATGTTAAATACAAGAAAAGTGCCCGAGCACATTAAAATGGTACAAATACAAGTACTCGTAAACATTTTACTTGCATTGAAAATGTATTTCGTAAGAAATTGCGGTTTTTCTGATATTCTCCATACTGCAAAAATGATTTTAACAGCACTGGCGGGGCGACATCTCTCGACTTTTCGGTGTAACTACCACACAAATGATGTAATTAATTGTATTCATCTATATTAAAAACATCAAATAGTAATGAACTCGTGCACTTTTTTGCATTTAAAACTGCTTATCAGGAAGATAATGAATAGAAACTAAAATCTCCATACATTTTCAAACGGCTTCATATCACTCTTATAAATAAGTACGGACGATATCACAAATGGCGCAATTATATCCCGTATGGTTAGTACGATAGCCCGAATAGGTGTTTAAGCACTTTTTATGGTTATTTTGTATGCACTGTATTTGTAAAACAACAAAACATGATTAATTAAGAAAAAAATCGTCAATACAGAAAATACAGATTTTTTAATAGAGTGGATACAGATTTTTTATAAAACCACCTGGCAGCTCTGCTACCATGTCTGCATTTCATTCAGTAGCCTCAGAGCATTGATGGAATATTGTTCATAACATAGTGCAAAATTAAATAGGAATCATGGAACAGGATATTGTTGATGACCTCCTGAAAAGACCGTTTGCCAGAAGGTGAGTAACGATGACAAATATCATAAACATGAGACTTAAAAAGAAAATCAATGTTTCTATGCAAGAGTAAGCAAAACTGTTTCCCATCATCATTTCGTTTATTTTTATGCAGGTACCCCCGTCGAAAGATTTGTATCCCATTTTTTTATTATGCATCAAAATTGGCTTCTACTATTACAGACAAAATATAAATAAAATAGGTGCACAACTAGTGAATTTTCTCACGTGACGCCACTGCTTCTATCGATGATTCCTACACGCTTAGTTTTTTCTACCGAGCTCGGCTGTGCAAATCTCGGCAAAATAAGTTTTACTGAGATCTCAGCAAACATTTCATTTGTTTGTTGAGATTCAGCTAAGTATTATCCGAGACTCAGCTATCAAATCAGGCATAACATTTGATAACGGCACAAAAGCATTTGTAAACAAACTTTCTTAGGCCCTTTACACGCAAACCAATACAACTTTCGGAAAGGTGATAGTTGCCCCTATCCGATGATGTTTTGGTTGGCGTGGGCGTACTTTGGTTCGCGTGTAAAGGGGCCTTAGAAAGTTTGTTTACAAATGCTTTTGTGCCGTTATCAAATGTTATGCCTGAAATGTCACTTTTGTTGAGATCTCCGTGAAACTTATTTTGCCGAGATTTGCACAGCCGAGCTCGGTAGAAAAAACTAAGTGTGTAGAAATTCAAGGCTCGCCCACGCAAACCAACATCCACATCGCGTAGGGAAAGACTTCCCCTATCCGATGGTTGTATTCGTCTGCGTGGGCGTGCCTTGAGTTCCTAGAAATCATCGATAGAAGTCATTGTTTACAAAAGCTGTTACGCCCTAATTCCAGCTCTATCTAGAATTGTCAGTGCGATTATCATCTCTAGCCAGGCTGCAAAAACAAACTGGAACTGATTCAAAACACCAATAGTTTCGTTTTCCGCCAGCTCGTCAATTTTTCCACCAATATTTGCACAGCCGGGTGCTCAGCATTCAATTTTACTGAGATCTCAGCAAACATGACGTTTGTTTGCCGAGATTCAGCATAATTTTATCCAAAACTCACCAACCAAACGTCACTTTTGCTGAGATCTCGGCAAAATATGTCTGCCAGGAGCTCGGCTGAGCCAATCTCGGTAAAAATTGCTGAGATTCGGCAAACAACATTAATTGAGTAATGAGAATAGAAGCATTATAATAATTCTAAAAATAATAAAGAGTTCCCACATTAGCAAAGTCCATACGACGTATTAAATAACATGAAAAGATTCGCCAACTATGTTGCTTTGTCATACACACTTAGATTTTTACCGAGATGGGCACCACCGGGCAGCTCGGCATTTTAATTTGCAGGATCACAGTGAAAAACTTGCCGAGAGTCACCAAAATTTATGTTTGTTAGCTGAGATCTCGGCAAAATTCCCGTTTGTTAGCTGAATCTCGGTAAGTTTTTCATTGAGATCCTGCAAAATTAAATGCCGAGCTGCTCGGTAGTGCCCACCTCGGCAAAAAAATCTAAGTGTGTAGTAAACGATAGTCTAAAAAAAAAGACGGGTATTGTCGGGCTTTTGTAAGAAATAGTGCAGATGGTTATTTTTTAGTTATCATTGTATTTATCAGGATCACGGTCTTCTTTTTTATTTTAATATTCCTCGTTGAGTTCATACTGAGCATTGATTCTGAGAACGTGACATCCATGCCGTGATGCAGCAAGGATAAATACTAGCTTGTGTTTCACCTCGACTCCGGAACCACTGTTTTCGTCGTTAGATATCGACTAAGCATAACAAAACGACAACCGAAACGATGAGGAAAAACATGTTGCTCAATAAAGATAAATAACAGTTTGTGACAATCTCAACCTGTAACAACACAATTTGCCGCACTACTTTGTCTGTCAAAGTGTATTAACGAATCAAAGCAACGCACGTCGTCATATTGTCTTTTTTTTTTTTTTTTTCTTTGATTATTTTTCCGTCGATCTTGTTTTCCGTGCTGAGCACCAATGCTACCGACGCCAGGGAGGCAGCTCCTACACCTGGACCTTACCTATCGACCCATCAACTCATGAACCGGGGACCAACGGCTTTACTTCCCTTCGTGAGAATCGTCGTCATATTGTGTCGGTCAGCATTTCAATTGGCGTTGACGGCGACTCTGTAGCTCGCTCTGTAGCTCTTTACTCCAGTGGTAAAATCCATAAGCAAACGTCAGACTGTGCGTGAAACATGGCGGACTTCGTACTATCCTTTCACTCCACTGAAAATTCCCATAAGAAACTGTCAATCTTTGCTAAAAGAGACGATTTTTCGGCGGTGCCGTCAACGCCAATAGGGGTTTCGTCAGTGAGAATCGAGAAATGTAGCACGTCAGCTGTCACGTGATATTGATGAAATAATGCAGCAATGATTTTCACTAGGCGCTTGAAAAATATTTCGCCGAATTAAAAACAAAATATGTGTATTGATTAATTTGGTTGGATTTTCTAGGATTTTTTTTTACATAAGCGGTCCACATATAAGAGAACTTTAGGACAGTGCTATTTTTGGAAAATTGCAAGAACTTCATAGAAGACCTGTGAAATCAAGTGAAGTCTACATAGAACAAATCAGGAAAGTTCAGAACTCTCTAGAGCAATTTCGAAATCTTCAGAGATGTGCCAAGAGCTTTCGGAAAAAAATTGGAAACATTCAGAGCGGTTACAGAAACTTCAAAGAAGATCCGGGAGCTACAGGAAAGTTCGGCGCTTTGGGGAAGCATAAAAATATTTAAGGGAAGGTTTCAAGAATTTCAGTTTCATGAACTACCGAAAAATTTCATGAATTTTCATTCAAATTAGAAAATTTTACTACAGTTCTATTAACTTCAAGAAACTTACAGATACTTCAATAGAACTTACAGAAACTTCAGAAAAGTTCTGAGAGCTTTCCATGAACAACTGAAAAAAAATTGGCACTTTCGGAACGTTACGAAATTTTTTCGAAAGTTTTGAGTTCTTATAGACCGTTAGACGAAAGACACAAACTTTTTTAACACTAATTGCAATTAATCATACCAATAATTACTTTTACTGCAAGTGTTGATATTTTTTTTTAATTACTTTTAATTACTTTTAAGAACATATTTTAATTTTAATTACACTCCATATAATTTAATTACATTAACTCCAATACTTTCAATAATTAATTACAGCAACAAACGTACTTTAATTCAAGAGCTAATTTTCACTATGTCGAAAGAATCATTCGCACCGATCCGAGAAAAATAAAGTTTTGTTTTGATGGCCGAAAAGTTATTCCTATTTCCAAATAAACACATATAATCTCATAGTGACAGCAATGTTTAACATATTAAGCATGGTTTTAATCATACAAAGCAGATCGCTAGCTTTCATGCTAAAAATAGTGATTTTTGAGTCAAAAGTTATTATACGTCGTTTGGTGGCCCCCTAATGTTACTTAAGTCAAAGTGTATGTACCAGGATATTCGGGAGAATTATCAATCACGTTTTCTTACGGGCCGCATCATTTTAGGACCACCGAAATCATCTTAGCAACAAACAGTTCTATTTATTCACTTTAATAATGAGAAAGCGAAACGATGAACGTACACTTTCACGGGTTTCTCTGCGCTGTTATTCAAGACAAACGGCCTCTCCATAGAAATCGGGTGACTGAAGTAACATCGAAAAATATTTTGATCGGAAGGTGATTACGTCAAAAAGTAATTTGACTGGTAAATAAATTTAAAAATGGGATGTGATCCTATATTCGGACAGTATATAGTGTAATAGCAGGAGCATCGATTGACAATGATTGCTCAACTTTGTTTACCTTTGCTACTTTCGACGTAATGAAAATTTGCTCTTGAATGACCTGCCATCGTACCGTTAGACCCTTTCAATATGTTTTTGACACAGTTTTTCACAGGACTTTTATAGTATTTTTTTTTTTCCTTTGATTGTGTTTTCCATCGATCTTGTTTTCCGTACTGAGTAACAATGCTACCGACGTCAGGGAGGCAGCTGCCACACCTGGACCCTACCTATTGACCCATCAACTCGTGGACCTGGTACCAACGGCTTTACTTCCCTTCCGAAAGAAGGCGTGATCAGAGATTTTATGCCTCAGAAATCTCGGCGGCGCCAACTGGAATTGAACCCAGGCCCTTTGCTTCGAACAATTATGATAAATTTCTAAAATTTCAGGAATGCTCCAAATATTTCAGAGAAATAAAGAGCTCATCAACGAAGTTCTACGAATATCAGTAAAGTTGCTGGAACGTTGGAGAACTTGAGAGAACTTTTTGGATATTTAGGGAACTTCATGAAGGAACGAAAATTTAACGAATACCCAGAGAAGCTCAAGGAACTTTAGAGATTTGATGGAAACGTTCCATAAAGTTCAAGGAAGTTTCGAAAACTTCAATTCAATACTTCAGGAAAAGTAAGGGAATTTGAAAAAGTACTGAGAAGAACAAAGAAAACTACAAAACTTTATTGAAGTTCAAAGATCTTTCAGGCAGTTCCAATAACTTCAGGGAAGAGCCAGGTTCGATTTAAATCTTTAACATGGCTCTGATAATATATGGGTCAAGCTATATCACAACAAAACTAACAACCGTGAAAATGCTAACCGATATGGAGTCGCAATATCATTAGTTTTTGAGATTAATGCTTTTTAACACATCCGAGATTTGTTCTTTGAAATATTTAATATTCAATTTTAGAATTTGCAATGTTTCGCGACATGAACAGATTCTGTAATGTGCTCACCGGAAGGTTTTTAAAATAATTTTGTGTTTTTGTTGATAACTTATTTTTCGAACATAGTTTGTTTCCCCAACTGCATTGCGTCTAAAAATCATATCGTGAATTTTTTATACAAAAATATGCATTATGGAAAAAATGCCATCACAGTTTTGCATAAGTGTTTCAAAGCTGATTGCTAGACAAAGATTTATTTACTTCTTGGGTTACAGTCACTGACAAACATAATATGGAAAAAAGAAAAAATGGCATACGATGATTGCATTCTCATAGTTCTACAGGGAAATTCCCGCCTTGGCAGCCAGTTCAGGGTAGCGGTTGGTTAGCTTGTTGTCCGGGTCGTACTTGTTCTTCAGCGAGGTCCACTCTTCCGGACGGTTCTCGATCAACCAAGAGATGACCTTGTTGCCCGTATCACGCTGCTTCTCGGTACACTTGGAACAGCCGGTCTCCAGGGCGTCGGGGAGATACTTCTTCAAGTCAGTTCCTTCCGGACTACATGGACCAGCGTCTATCAGACAGTTGAAGTAGTTTTTGAAGAGACGGTCGGATTTCAAGATTTCTTCCACATCGATGTTGTCGTATCTGCTGTTATAGGTGGCTTCTTGGGCGGCAGCCACAGCCAGAATGCCAAGCAAAATGAGGAATTTCATGTTTCTATTGGGTTTGCTTAGATTTACTCAACTTGGTACTTGGTAGTGAACTGTGATGAACTGCATGCAAACGCTCAGTATTTATAAGTTGCGAAATTTGAAGATTGATTTAATGTTCAGGAAGTGTAAAATATATCAACAGCCAGCACCACAGTGCATGCTGATCTAAAAAAACACGCTGTACTCAAGTGCATCGATATAATTGCAAACCGACTTGCCATCGAAGAAGTATAGATTTCAAACCTAGACAAACAAAACGTCATCGTTCACAACTTGCATTTTTCTTCATATATATATATAAATGAGCTCCAAATGCATTTGAACATAGTTCGATTTACAGTGTTCAATCGATTGCATCCCAGAGTTGCCGAGCCTAATTGTGCAAACTATTATCCAATTTAAAATGAAACTGTACATCGTGCTCGCCCTGCTGTCCATGGCCGCTGCTCAGGAAGACACCTACAACAGCAGATACGATAACATTGATGTGGAGGAAATCTTGAAATCCGACCGTCTCTTCAAGAACTACTTCAACTGTCTAATGGACGCTGGTCCATGCACTCCGGAAGGAACCGACCTGAAGAGGTACCTCCCCGATGCCCTGGAGACCGGATGTACCAAATGTACTGAGAAGCAACGTGATACTGGCAACAAGGTCATCTCTTGGTTGATCGAGAACCGTCCGGAAGAGTGGACCTCCCTGAAGAACAAATACGACCCGGAAAACAAGCTGACCGAGCGCTACCCTGAGCTGGCTGCCAAGGTAGGAATTGCTCTGTGAGATAATGAGATAGTGACAATTAGAAGGAATTCAACGGGAATCAACAGCCATGATAGTTTAACCAAAATTGAAATGCTCAATAAATATATATGTACAAAATCGTGAGATTTTCTTTCAAAGATTGATAGGCCATTCGCTCAAATTTGCAACAAATACTTTATTCTGGCACACATACGAAACTTTTGACCAGCAAAACTTTTCGATTGTATCCTTCCACTCCCCTCCCTCTTTGGACCATCACTATTTATTCACCTGTAGCTTAATTTTCCTTCTCATATTTGTTGTCAGGGTCATAAAGAGCCTTCAGCACCTTCCACTCCTCCGGGCGCATCTCCATCAGATACTTAATGGCTCTCTTGCTGGCTTCCTGTTGCTTTTCGCTACACTTGGTGCAGGCCGTCTCCAGAGCCTCCGGCAGGCGACGCTTCAACTCAACTCCTTCCGGGGTGCAGCGACCTTCGCCGATAAGGCACTTGAAGTAGTTATGGAAGAGGCGATCCGACTTGAGGATCTCGTCCAAATCGATACTATCGAACTTGGTGGTGTACTTGTCGATTGCATTTTGGGCGGCAACGGCGACGATCAGTGCCATCAGAATAACGACGAAGGATTTCATCTTGGACTGGAGCTGATTGAAGAACGGAACTGGGATGTTGTAAAATTGAAACTGTGTTCTTTACAGCTAGTTTTCGCTTTTTATATGAAAAATGTTACCAATTTCTTCCTCTTTCTGTTCTTCTTGGGATCATGTTTATATTTTTACACCATGTTTTAACTGCGTAATTTATGTAACCAATTATGCGTGACGTAAACACTAGATCATGACCTATCTACTCATCATATAGGAACGACGGTCGATCATCTTTTGCGCTTGAATGTTTTCGTGATCTCGAAAATGGAAGTAGGTAGGAATCAAGAAACAGAGATTGAAAGAGATAACCAATTGCCATTCCAGCCCACTTATTAGCCTAGCTTGTAACTCGAGTCAATTGGATCCAAATAGAATAATGTTTAGGCGTGTTGATGAACCATGCATGCTTGAGCGGATAATTGCTACAAAAAAATACTGGGTTGCCGAATTGATATTGACGTCATCCAAAATAGAACTAGGAGTACTGTCTCGTGAAGTGCCTGAGAAGTGGGGCTTATTGATTCATGAATTACGTAGGCATATTACGCTAAATTTAAATCTAGTAACTAGATGATCAAATTTGACATCCCATGCCACAATCGGTGTGGCAGCTAAGACAAGGGCGTAACCAAGTTTAGAGCTAGGGGAGGGTGATTTTGTTTACTATGGAGGATTTGGCTGAATTCCAGTAGGCCGAACGCCATTTGACCGAACGGTTTTTTTTAGCTCTTTATTTGTTCCAAATTCAAAATAAATTATATTTCATTTTAACCTAGGTGCTCCAGTTACTACAGTTACTTACCAGCCTTTGTTGTTATGATATATTCATCTAAATGTTTTTACATTGCTCCAGCATTGGCATATTGACCGAACGCTTTAATGTTGCTGAGCTAAGGAGGGGGATAGCCGCTACCATCTGGCTACGCCTATGAGTTTAGACCAAAATTTACAAGTAAACAACCGAGAACGATACGAATGAAAGTAGAGAAAGGCATTGAACTGTAAGTTGTGGTAGGTTCATTAGTCAGAGAATGTTCAGTACCATTTTGTTTGAGCACAAGAAAAAATTAATCAATTTGAGATAATTGAACACTAATAAATATTTATTCACTATATGGATTATTAACCCCTAACATGACTATTGGCTTCATGGCATCTCAAATCTGTGGATTTTACAGAGAAATTCCTGCCTTGGCAGCCAGTTCACGGTAACGCTCGCTCAGCTTGTTTTCCGGGTCGTACTTGTTCTTCAGTGAGGTCCACTCTTCCGGACAATTCTCAATCAACCAAGAGATGACCTTGTTGCCAGTATCACGTTGCTTCTCAGTACACTTGGAACATCCGGTCTCCAGGGCGTCCGGGAGATACTTCTTCAGGTCAGTTCCTTCCGGCGTACATTAGACAGTTGATGTAGTTCTTGAAGAGACGGTCGGATTTCAGGATTTCCTCCACATCAATGTTATCGTATCTGCTGTTGTAGGTGGCTTCCTGAGCAGCCGCCACGGCCAGTAGGACGAACACGATGTACAATTTCATATTTAATTGGTTAATTGTTTACGCGCTTGGCAGCAAGCACTCTGGTATATGACCGATTGAACACTGCAAGTTGAACTATGATCGAATGCATTTGGTGCTCATTTATATATATATATGAACAAAAATGCAAGTTGTGAACGATGACCTTTTGTTTGTCTAGGTTTGAAATCTTTACTTCTTCGATGGCAAATTGGGTTGCAATTATACCGATGAACTGCACTGCGTTTTTTTGGAACAGCATGCACTGTGATGCTGGCTGGTGATAATTGTTCCACTTCCTGAACATTAAATCAATCTTAAAATTTAGCAACCTAAATATATTAAGGAATCGTATGCAGTTCCTCGCACTTCACCGTCAAATACCAAGTTGAGTAAATCTATACCAACCCAGTCGCAGAATGAAGTATGTTATTCTGTTGGCCATATTTGCCGTGGCTATTGCCCAGGAAGCCACCTATAACAGCAGATACGATAACATCGATGTGGAGGAAATTCTGAAATCGGACCGGCTCTTTAAGAACTACATCAACTGTCTGATGGATGCTGGGCCATGTACTCCGGAAGGAACCGACCTGAAGAAGTACCTCCCCGATGCCCTGGAAACTGGATGTTCCAAGTGTACCGAGAAGCAGCGTGATACTGGCAACAAGGTCATCTCTTGGTTGATCGAGAACCGTCCGGAAGAGTGGACCTCACTGAAAAACAAGTACGACCCGGAAATCAAGCTGACCGAACGTTACCGTGAACTGGCTGCCAAAGCAGAAATCTCTTTGTAGGATCGACTAATGCCATTATGTTAACGTACTTTAATAACTATGCACTGGCTGGAAAACAATACCATCCAACTTCAAACACCTTAAATGTCTGATTCGAGCAACAACCAGTGTTGCCACATTTTTTAGAATTTCAATCGGAATTTTCACCATAAAAAATCTTTTTAATCTGTATCTGGCTGACAAAAATCTGTATAATTTCGTTATTATAGTCGACGTTAATATCCCTTGAATTCATTCAAAGTTCAGAAACTGTTTGTTTAAAGTTTAAATCATGAAAAGAGAAGTTTGCTTTCTAAAGAATTTATCTATTTAAAAGATTTCGAAACCCTAGAATTTTCTTCTAAGTGATTTGCAACTTTTCTATCAGTCTAAAATTACATAAAAAATAAGTCCCAGTAGTGAGAGACAAACTTGCTACCAGCTGAAAATTTCTGGAACAAAGTAACCATCACATTTCCCTAGAATTTTATTTTTTTAATGTCCAATATTACGAAATCTTATTCTGGATATATTTTTTTTAATTTTTTAGTTCAAACCCTTAAATATTTATTATTTTACAATTTTCGATTTTTCATTTTCTCAAATTCTTCTAATGAACTAGATTTCAACTTTTTTAAAGCATTTGGCAGATTGAAATAAAAGGATATTGAATTCGTTTGTGTTGCTTGAACATATATCTAAGTGTAGTCAGACATTAAATATCTTGAAATTTGGTTTTGGAAGGAGGAGTTTTTCAAATATAAGCACATTTATGGTGATTTTACTGAAATACGTTGAGGTTTTTATTTTTAATAATAAAAAATGCCTCCTACGCAGCAAAACATAAATTTTAATACTACATCCAAGAGGATGCACTTAAATCATGTCGGAAATCTCATGTAATTTTTATGTCCGCAAAAATAAACAAATACAGTAAAATAAGCGTAATGTCAGTTCATGCTTTGTATTAATGACAATTTTGTCATTTTTGGCAAGTAATATTAAACCATATTTTTGACACGATTGAAGTGCATCCACTGTGATGTGATGTTAAAATTTATGTTTAGCTGTGTAAAGATTAAAAAATTGTATGGTTTTGTAAAAAAAATCATATTTAAATTAAAAAAAAAATCATTGATTTTCAGTTAAACCACCATAAATGTTTAAATTCTTGAAAAGCTCTGCTTTTCTGGTTTTCAATCCCATCCTAAAATCAAAAATCTGCTAAAAAATGAGTTAACCATAATGTTATGTGGTCACTTACCCTAAATCAGTTTTTCAACAATAATTTTAAATTTTGGGGGTTTTAGAGCAATTTCAAATGTGATTTCATGTTCTACTTGACTAGACTAATAACGAAGACAACATATCAAGAAGACTGGCAACTTTTCCATTTTCTCAAACGATCGGTATGAGACAGGCACAATCGCGTCACACGCTATGTCTGAAGGCACTTTTTTTGCAACATTCATGTACCTCAAATTTTTCTTCACAAGATGTTAGCACAGACAAACAGACATAACACTCACAATTTGTTCATCGACATGCATTTAACGGACAATTTAAAAGTATAGTAGTTGGTAGCACCGCCACCTGTGGCGCTCATAGTCGATTCCCTTGCGTTTGACGTTTACACACTACCGCCATCCGTTCTGCGTAGTGCCCACCACAGTGTACTCAACAGATGGCGGTAATGTTTTAGTGACGATGTTTTACAGTGAGAAATATTCAATGTGTTATGTCTGTTTGTCTGTGATGTTAGCATTGATCCTAACAATCAAATCTGTGATGGTTTTAAAATATTTCATCTTGGGTTTTTAGAGAAAAAGTGTTTTGAAGTATACTTAGTCGTTTACAAAGGCGTATACGAACTATTGATGATACAAAACTGTTACGGATCGAAACAAATTCAGCTGAAAATGATTCAAAATGGGACTAAAGTTGTCAAAATACTGGTAAAGTAATGTCATGATCCCATAATGTTTAAATTAATCAAATAATTAAACAATTGTGTAGTCTCTAAATTTACTATTATTCAGCCATTCCATTGCAAAACGATATAGTGGTTCTTAGAATTTGGTTAAAAATTGTTATTTTATTCCTTATCGAAAAATATTTTTATTTTATTTTGTGTCAACGTTAGTGTAGTCCAAAAAATCGTTTATTTTTTATTTTATTTTTTAAATGCCTCTTTTTTAATGTATAACTTTTGAACTGTTGGGCTGATATCAAAGATCAAAATATTAATTGAAAGGTAATTTAAATCTCGTGTAAAAAATTTTATTAAAAAATTGGGATTTTATATTGAAAAACATTGATTCCTGGTCTTCCTGTGACGCTTACAAAAATAACCTCGGCTAGTTTTTTGTCTGCTTTTGACTACAAAGTGGTTTTCACTACATGCAGGACGTTTTGTAGGAGAATGCTGCGTCAGACATAATTTGCAAATTTTCATGAATTTCTTTTTTTTTCTGCTGTGATTTTTTCTAACAAATATCTACAAACCCGCACATCTTTGACTGTTGTGTTTGGTTTGAACTTCTTGGATATTTGTGAACCTCAATTTTCATAAACTGCTCCCTTTTCTATACCGGTAAACGGCAATGTAACATGCGTGAGTCGTATTCACGATATTTGTTTGTGTGGCGAACTCTCATTTTTACCCTGCTCATGCCCTCGATCACATTTCATAAGGGAAGCGTAAAAGAGAAAGAGATATCACAAGAAATTATTTCTACTATACCTGTTTTCTAAGACATAGAGTAGAAGTTGTTGTTCAAGCAATGACCCGATGAAACAGCTTATAGAAGTTACATTCAAATTCAAAGCCCTGTTTTTCCTTGATTTCCTTGAACTCCGATGAATATTTTCGAACTTTCTTGATGTTCTTTGACCGTCTCTGAGTTTGGCTTTTTTTCCTGAAATTCTCAGATATTTCTTAAAGTTCACAGTACTTTCCTACCCTAGTAGCACGCTTGTCACAAATCAATTGTAGAAACTTATACACGACTTATTTCAGTCATAAACAAGTTGCTGTAACTTATTGTGATGAAAGTGTGCTACTCGGGTAATGTTATTAAATTTCCCCTGTGGTTCACATACCATCCTAAAGTTTGCCAAAATTTCTTCACGTTTAAAGAACTTTTTGCAGAGCATCATTGAAATTCATATAATGTTGCTATAGTTCACAGAACTCTCTTGAAGTTCGTAGAACTTAACAGAACGACATTGAACTCCCCAGAAGCTCACAAAACGTCCCTAAGGTCGGCAGAATTTTCCTGATGTTTATAGAGCTTCTCTGAAGATCGAAGCACATCTTTAAAGTTTTAATAATTTTCTTGAAGTTTGTAGAACTTCCCTTAAGTTTGTAGAACTTCCCTGAAGTTCAATGAACTTATCTGAAAGTTTTTGGATTTCTCTGGTTTATTGGAGGAAATTATTTAAAGTTTGCAGTACTTTCCTAAAATTCATCACAGTTCCCTATAGCTCGCAGAAGTTCCTAGAAGGTCGCTGAACCTTCCTGAAAATTTCCATGGTCAAAATATGGGAACTGCAATGAAGCTCTAGCAACTCTGTAGTAATTCAAGGTGAGGGCTACCTAAACTCACTGGGCAAGAGTAACTAACCTCATGTGAGTTTCATTCCTGTATTATCGGCATTATCGGTTAAACGATTTTAAAAAAATATCGTCATGGTTGCTAGAATTTATTTTCGATCTCGCCGTTGAGTCAAACATATCTATTTATTTTTAAAAATCCAAGAAAATTTTTCGCCCCTCAAGATGATTTAGTGGTAAATGCCACCTTCGTCAGCTGCTGAGTACAAGACACAAAACTTTCGGATACCTACTATCTCCTTTATTTAACTCCGGTAAAAATCTTTCAATGATTGTCGCTTTTCGAAGCACGACAAGCGAGCTATCTATTTTGTTCATGAGATTTTTTAATTTTTCCAGATTTTCGACACGATACATCCATAGAAAAAAAAAACACTCGAAATAGGACGAAAATCAACGCCTATTATGATTACGTGGCTGTCTCGGACTGTCCTGCTCACTTTTTTCTCTTTTACTATTATGAGGGAAGAGAAATTAGACAAGATATTGTGCTACGAACAAATATTAATTGATTTATCACAAAGTCGACAAAATCAATATGGATCTTACTTGGGAGTCAAAAAAAACTTCTTTAATGCCATTTGGATTATTGCAATCAACTTTTGAACCTTATTTGACTGCATTTGTATGCTTTTGTATAGTCAATAGTCCATATACGCCTTCATAATCAGCTTTGTAAACTTCAAAACACTTGTTCTCAAAAAACACAAGATGAAATATTTTAAAACCATCACAGATTTGATTGTTAGAATCAATACTAACATCCTGTGCAGAAAAATCTGAGGTACATGAATGTTGCAAAAAAGTGCCTTCAGACATAGCGTGCGTCATCTACCACTCAAAGGTTAATACTTCGAACGAATTGGATAGCAAAGGTTCCATCCTCAGAAGAAAGGTTTGTGTATTTGCTCATTTTTCTATGCGTTGCTTCCACCTTCTGTGTCTGTCGCTCAGATTCAGACAAAGTTGCCAGTCTTCTTGATATGTTGTCTTCGCTAATAACCTACCGTAGGACACATGAAAACTGCATTAATTATTTTTGAATTTTGCAACACTGTGTTCTTATTTTTATTGGAAAACTTAATGTAATAGCAAAATTACGCAGGAAACATACAGCATGGAAAAAAATCTGCCCTCATCCAGGTTAGATTTGCGCTTTTTAGGTGATCAATGAAAATGATGCAAGACCTTAAAGAAAGGTCAAAGATCTCCGGAGCAGTTTTAAGAACTTTCGGAAAGTTCCATGAATATCAGAAAAATTGTGGGAACTGTAGGGGACTTCCAAACAAATGTTGAGCTATTTTAAAAAATTCAGATAAAATGCGAGATCTTAAAGAAATTTCAAGCAGATGTTAATAACTGTGGATGTTCTATTAATTTAAGAAATATGTTGGGAACCTTCAAGACGTTCTGCGAACTGCATGGATGTTTCAAATACTTCAAGGAATTTCCTTAAAATTCAGTGTGACTCCGAGAACTTCAAGACCATTCAGAACTTCAAGACCATTCAAAACTTCTGAGGACTTTAAAAAGATCGTTAAGGGTAAGTTCTGATAGATTCAGGGCGATTTCATTAACTTCAGAAGAATAAGAGACTTTATAGACGTCAATGATAGCTACGTGCTTTTTCGCAGTTCCATGAATATTGCAAATATTGTGAAGCTTCAGGGACGATCTGAAAACTTCGAGTTCGTTATGGCCTTAAGGCATTTCTATTAATTTCAGGAAAATAGCTCAAACTTTCAAGAAGTTCTGACAAAATCAAATAAGTCCAGAGAACTTCAAAAAAAAAATTCAGAAATTTCACAGAAGTTTTGATAAATTAATGGAAACCCACAGTACTTAAGAAAAGCTTAGAGTTTGTTTTGACAGTCACTTTAACACATTTGGATCACTCATGACTTGTCCGGGGATGAAGTTTTATCTCGTGAGTTTGACGTGAGAGGTATGGAAGCTACCTTACTACACAGGGGCCATCTTCGAAGTTTAGTATTCTTCAGGAAGTTCAAATAATTTCTGGGCAGTTTCATGAATATCTTCAGAAAAATTGCGTAAATTTCAGGAAATTTGCGGGAACTGCCCTAGTAGCACGCTTGTTACAAATCAATTGTAGAAACTTATATACGACTTATTTCAGTCATAAACAAGTTGCTGTAACTTATTTTGGTGAAAGTGTGCTACTCGGGTGTTGAAATGATCCGAGCAAGTTTCACGAACATGTTGTGGGCAAAGAAGGGAAGTTACGAGAACTTCTGAAAAACTGGGAATGTCAGGGAAGCTTTGAGAACTTTAGAGCGGTTCAATAAGCTTCAGGAAATATATGTGAGAAACTTCAAGAAATTCTGAGATCTTCAGTGATATCCAGAGAACTTCAGGGAAATCCAAAAACCCTCATCGAAATCCAAAAAACTTCATCGAAGTCTAAAGATCTGGAGAAAAATTGTGGGAACTTTAGAGAAGTTTCACGAACTTCAATGAAGCTCCGCTATCTTCAGGTATGTTCCAATTATTTCAAGAAACCTCTAAGAACATCAGGATAATCCAGACTTTCAGTAAAGACAGACGTCATTTCGATTAGAAAAGACGTTTTCGGGTTATGCCATTTTGAAGAACTTTGCTAGACTCAAAAGTACTGAATTCTAGCAGAAATGTAGATGGTTGTACATTACAAACACTTCTGCAAAGTTTCATGTAAATCGGAGAAGATCGAGTCAAAAATTCAATTTTATTTTTGATATTACAACAGCAGACAAATTGACGTTTCAATAAGATTGATTTTAGCCTTCCTAATGCTCCAGATCTCAAACATCAATATAACTGGATTTATTATGACGATTCAAACCTTTTCTTTAAAATCAGTCTGAACACGAAACTCCATTATTCAATAGACATTACTTGCCCGAATTGGCTACTTGTCCAGATTTGGGATTTGAACTCGTGATCATTGACGTGAGTGGCATGTTCTCTATCCACTACTTTGGGCCTGTCCTCATATACAAGCCCTTCTGGGTAATTCTTCAAAAAAATTCAAAAGAAATTACTCAGATAAATCATTTTTCAATGTCACTCACTTTTGTTTTCTTTCATTACATGCCAACTTGATGAGTCATATTTTCCGGATTTCAACACCTAAATGTATTATTTCAAAACCAAAATCAAACAACGGTGGCTACACCGTATAACATTGCACAACACACACATTGATCTAAACATTCAGCGTGATTCCCTCCTTTTCGGCATCCTTAACGTACTGATCGATGTACTTGTTCTCGGGATCGAAGCGAGCTCGCAGTGCCTTGAACTCAGTCGGTCGATTCTCGCTCAGGTACTTGACGGCACGGACTCCGGCGCTACGTTGTTTGTCACTGCACTTGGAGCAGGCCGTCTCCAGGGCATCCGGTAGGACTCGCTTCAGTTCGTTGCCTTCCGGTGTGCAACGGCCCTCGTCCAACAGGCACTGGAAGTAGTTCTTGAACAGGCGATCCGACTTCAAGATCTCATCCACATCGATGTTGTCGAATTTGGTAGTATATCTGACGACTTCTTCCTGGGCCACGACGACGGCAATCAGGGCCAAAGCTACGACGAAGACCTTCATGGTGGATCACTGGGTGTTGATCTGTATTGAGCGAGTTGAAACGCAATGCTGGACTATGCTTTGTCAGTCATCTGACTTCAGCTATATATAGCGATCAATAGTTCTGGTCAAAGAACGAATTTTCGGAAGTAAACTTTAGATTGCGGAACTTCCTAACACACACGCATAGTGCAGCCACAGCATTTGATAATTGCTCAGCGTAATGTGGGCTTGCCAAAAATCGCTGTCATGAACTTGAACATGAACATGAACGTTCAATATCTCGAAAATTGTGCGTATGTAATCAACCCGTACGTTGAAAAGCAAAAGTATCCGAGTTGAATGATTGGCATAATGGAATGCATCGCGGTGCGTATGATTCCATGCTTTACGCATAATTCGATTTCAAGATGATTCAAATCTTTGTTTCTTTTGTTCACTGTTCGTTGTTTGCTTCGCTGTATTACATAATAAGTTAGCTGTACTGCTATAACCTACGGAAACAGCTAGCATTTCACTGCTGATCTACTGAGCTATTACTATTGGTGTAATTGGAAGACGCTGGATGAATAAATTATTTACCACTCAAGAAAATTTGTTAATGGAAAAATGCATCCTGATTTGACAACAGAATCTATTTTGCGGCAGCTATATATAGCCTATGTCAGATGTCCAACGGAGCATAGTTAAGCATCGCGTTTCAACTCGTTCAATACAGATCAAAACCCAGTGATCCACCATGAAGATCTTCGTTGCTACTCTGGCCCTGCTCGTCACCATCGTCGTGGCTCAGGAAGAAGCCGAAAAATATACTTCCAAATTCGACAGCATCGATGTGGATGAGATCCTGAAGTCAGATCGGCTGTTCAAGAATTACTTCCAGTGCCTGTTGGGCGAGGGCCGTTGCACACCGGAAGGCAACGAACTGAAGCGTGTCCTGCCGGATGCTCTGGAGACGGCCTGTGCCAAGTGCAGTGACAAGCAACGCAGCGCTGGGGTCCGTGCCGTCAAGTACCTGAGTGAGAATCGACCGACCGAGTTCAAGGCACTGCGAGCTCGCTTCGATCCCGAGAACAAATACATCGATCAATACGTTAATGATGCCGAAAAAGAGGGAATCACGCTGAATTTGTAGATCGATTACAGTGTTGTGCAATGATATAATGTGTTACTGCTAATGTTTGGTATTGATATGGAAAATAATAAATTTAATTTTTGAAACGGGACACATGTTATTTTGAATGTATGAAAGAAATATTAAACGTGATGAACGATACAAGTTTGTAATAGGTTTAGTGCCCATGTTCAAAATAAGTTTTTCGATAATTTTCAACGTAGGAATACAGAACAACATTGAAAGATGACATTATATGTTGTGGGATATAAGCTCAAGATAAGCTAATTTTATTGTAAGGGAAGATGCTCGAGTGACGTAGCATTTGAGGGTGACCAAGTTGGTGCTGTATCAAACATAAACAAACGTTTAACATTTGTTTGCATTTCATGAAGTCCCCGTTCCCATTGTTGCGTATTTTTCTCTATGGCTGGTCACCCTAAAATGCTTCGTCATTTATGCATCTTCCTTAAACAGTTCCAAAATCGATGTGAACTTTAACAACATTTTTGGATGTTAGTTCCGTAGCATGGCACAATATTATACTTCACTCAATGTTTTAAAACAATCAAATATAAGCACATTCATTGCACGTCTCTTTATTTTTGACATGCAAAAAAAGATGTCTGTACTCGTCTGTGCTTCGTTTTGTTCTCTATCCCTGAGGGACAATGTGATTTGAAAATGGAAATGTTTCGAAATTAACTCTGTTTTAAGATAAATTTTCCGGTAAATAAAAATGCTTTGACATTACTCACATTATTTCAAACATGATTTTCAAGCTACGTCTAAAGTAAACCTTAATTTAAAGCAATAATGGCACACAAATACAAAATGTAGTTCATGAAAAATCTTGGCTGTTGGTTGACCAAATATTTGTACAGTATTGACTGTGATTAGTACAAAACAAAGTATTGACAGTTTAATTTTCTTTGCGGTCTGAAAAAATTGGCAAGGTTATATGGGTGCCAATGATAATGTATAGGAAAAAAGTGACCCTCGAATTTTCAAAACCGACCCTCGAAATTTCAAAACCAACCATATACAGAATGTTTATTGTCTCGAAAAAGTTCCTAAATTTGTGCTATGATTTAGGAATGGCGCAAAAACGTCAAAGTTGAAGGTTTTTTGAAATCCGAAAAAAAAATCACCCAAGAGTAGAGTGAGATAGCTAGTAGGGGAGGAACTAAGGCAATTTTTTTATTTAAAAATAAATATATAATCTGCATACAATTTTTATGCGTTAATCTATAGCTTTCCAACTCTATTTTTTTATTTTATGTATTAAAAAAATTAGACGAGAATCTAAATGAAATTAATTAAATTAATAAAAGTAATGAAATTGATAGAACTAATAAAATTAATAAAATTAATAAAATTAATAAAATTGATAAATTTCATAAAATTAATAATATTAATAAAATTCATTAAATTAATAAAATAAATAAGATTATTAAAATTAATTAAATTAATAAAATGAATCAAATTAATCAACTTAATAAAATTCATAAAATTAATAAAATTATTAAAATTATAAAATAATAAAATTAATAAAATTAATAAAATTCAATAAATAAATAAAATTAATAAAATTAATAAAATTAATAAAATAAATAAAATAAATAAAATAAATAAAATTAATAAAATTAATAAAATTAATAAAATTAATAAAATTAATAAAATTAATAGATGTAATAAAAATTATAAAATTAATTAAATTAATTAAATAATAAATTAATAAAATTAATAAAATTAATAAAATTAATAAAATAAATTAAATAAATAAAATTAATAACATTAAAAAAATTAATAAAACTAATAAAATAAATATATTAATAAAATTAAAAAAAAATTCATAAAATTAATAAAATTAAAAAAAAACATTTTTTGAGCAGTGATATGTTTGTATTTGAATGTTATCCTCATAACTTGATGTTAGATTATTCAGCATGATCCTATACATACTACACATTCTATCTGATTCAGATCTTAGTAAAAAGCAACAGACACAGTAAAGTTTTTTTTTTACGTCTTTCGGCAACATATTGGGCTGCAATTTCAAAAAACCAAAATTGACCGCATTACGAAAAGAGGTCAGGTTTTAACCACATATAACTCTGTCAATATGCTGCCAATCTGCTAAAATGAACACTTTATTAATTTTCAATAGGTCTATTGAAGGTCACTATTGAAAAATACACAAATATCCAACTGTTACAATGGTGGTCAAAATTATCACCTGCAAAAAGCGCTTTCCCTAACACAGATTTGAAAATCGTATTCGATGCGTTCTTACTGAACGGTGCTCATTCAATCACCGTGTTTGGTGGCGTCCGTTTATCGGTGTCAGCAGCAGCAGTGCTTTCAGCGTGTGGCGTTGAACACTGTTCTCCAGTACACAACGAAAGGCAGCCCGCAAGCAGCGAGCTGCAGAGCCCACATGAGCATCCATAGAAGGAGGAAGAAGCCGCACCGCTATGGATCGAAATCAGTTTCTTCGTGAGTCGCTGTGGGTCATTTATGCCAAGCGCATTACCCTTGCTCCAAACAAAATACAGCTCGTCAACCTCATCAGCGTTGAACACCCTAATAGCTCAGCGTTACTCAACCATCACGACAGAATGGCCCTTTTCAGGACTACTATACATTTGATAAAGAGTATTTTTTGAACATTTTTCAAAGTCATCAATCGGATGTCATTTCATTTTATTTCATCATTTCAGATGTCATTTATACCATATATTTTTAAGGCAACATTAATGTGCAATTTCAGAGTCCAAAGTCGGTCACGGCATCAAAGTGGTCTGATTTTGATCCAGAGATGATAGATTTTAATTCTGAATACGCAAATCGATAGGACATTTTTCTACGAATCTGTTAAAATTAAAAGGATTTATCACACACAAAGATTTTTTTTCCGTGTTCGGTAAATTTTACCGAAATCAGAACAGAACGTTCGGTAAAACTTTGACCTTCATTGAATTTGAAAATAATATCAAAACATGTTCAACCTTGTTTGAATGATAAAATCTTGTCATTTTATTGGAGATTTAGTTTCAAAGTAGCTGAAAAGCAATTGAATTGAATTGCATAAATTTTACCGAAAAGTTAGGGTGTTCAGATTTCGGTAAAAATTACCGAAGTCGGCGATAATTTCTACGTGTGCATTTTTCAAAATGTCACAATTGAAAATGTACAAATGTGCAAGCGTTGCTATGGTAATAAAATGGTCACCGATTGCCTGCGAAAAACGCATTCCTTAACACAGATTTCAAAATTGAATTCCATACGGTCTCCACAAACGCTGTTCATTCAATAACCGCGTGTGGTGAGTGGTGGTGTTCTCCAGTACACAACGAAAGGATCCCCGCAAGCAGCTAGCTATCAAAGCTACCCTCAACCGCTGATCGGATTCAGTTTATCGTCGTGATTCTGTGATTGATGTGTTTTCCCTAATACATATTTCATTTCCGCACCACACTATCATCTCCAAGAACATCGAGGACAAATTTCTACAGCATTGTTCTAAACTGACTTCCAAGCTTTCAACTCATCGGTTCTTTTCAGGATCACAAATGACTGATGAAAGAGTTAAGTAAAGAGTAAGAGACATGTCGTCCAGGATTGGCTTGTACTACATTGACCTCGACAGAGCACCTCACAAACAGAACTCTCAAATTGCTTCCGAATTTCAACCTATCGAAATTTTTCACTGATAACGAGTTAAGAAATCAATTTAATATATACTCTACTTTTGCTGTGACATCAAAACTACCCTTCGTAATCCTACGTCAAATCTACCGTCGTGTCTTGGATACAACCTCTTCCCTTTTTTTTTCTTTTTGAAATGTATTGCTTCAAAATTTCAAATTTAGTTGTTGCTAGGATTACCAGAGGCCAGATCACTCAATTACTAGATTGTTATTTGAGAAATACTTCCCTTGAACTTCTTAATTAACGGATCTAAAGATGCAGCTGCTGCGATGTTGAAACTAAGCTATAGTCTAACAGTCGACCATTTGATTTACGATTATCACCGTTTTTTGCAAACAGAAATGATGCGTTTAAAAACTATATTCAAATTAGGTAAGGCATAACTACAAATACACCAACCGGAACTTACAACAAACGATAAATTGTTGCTAGTTTTGAGCTTTCGAATAAGCCTACCAGCATCATCCTTAACCAAACGTTTTGTATAGCTTATCCCGATCCAAACAATCCACCCAAAAACATCAAAGTTTGTCAGGCTATGTTCCTAAGTGGCACCATTGAATTCCCGGGAGTTTCCCGGTTTTCCCAGAATTCCCGGTGGACGTCCACGTGGTCTTCCATGACAATTTTTACGGTGGAGGAAATTTGCAAGGAAAATCAGGATTAATCATTGTCAGGGTAATGCATTTTTTTCCAATGATTTTTTTTTCATTCTTGAACATGTTTTATCTATTACAGGTGAACTTTTCAGACTGATATTTCTAACTGTTTTTTAGATAGGTATGACCGAAAAACTAACGACCTGCTATAGGAAAGCTATGAAAACTATCGTTTCTTGTTTATATTGTGATTTTCTATGACACACAAGACACAACAGCAAGAGAAAAGTTATTGAAAAAATTCAACACACGGAAAATGGTTTTCCCGGTTTTTCTTTGAGATTTTCCTACACCAAGAGAATGATCATGGAAATTTTTGTTAAGTTTATATTAATTATGGATTGCAGACATAATTTCCTTATCATTCCACTAGAGCAGTTTTTTTCAACGATGCTTAGTTCATGAGTTATGGATTTTCAAAGTATGTGAATTCCGAAAAAAAATTAAAGAGAAGTAGAACCAGAGCTAATAAAAATCATTTCTTCTTCACTCAACTAAGCTGAAAATGTAGCCAACCCAAGGGGTATGTCACTCCGCACACCAATCTTGGGTCATCTTTTTTGTCAATGTGCCGCAGGTGTGCCGATAGTGCCGGTCATAGAGTAAGCTGCGATTGTTTGTAAAATACCCATCCCGGCAACCCGGTATTTCTAACACCTTGAATGTTTTGTCTTTGAAATCGCATGCAAAAATGGGATTGAGGATGATGCGGGAAGTGGCGGGTGTGCAAAATTGTGGTGTTTTGTGTTCATATTATAATAAACGTCCGTTTTAGGGGTTTATAATGCCCTCAAAGGCAGTCCAGAAACCTAGCCTTTCATGATGTGAAAAGCAACGGTTTATCAGCGGCCGGAAAGAGTTGGAACCGGTGGGGAACATTGTTAGAGACCGAATATAGAGGATGATGAATTTGACTTCTGTAGTTTGTTTTGTGTGAATTGCAGCATTATTTGAATTAAGGGTGCTAATGGGGTCTGATTAATGCCTCTTTCTCTTGAGCCCACTCTTGAACCGAGAAGTGAACTGCTGGTTTAGAGGATGTTCCTGAATATCAAACAGCACGTAATGCTGTGAACAATTTCAATGAAAAATGTCCAGCAAAGCTCCTATTTTATTTATAACAATCCAATGCCTACGAGATTATGCCGAAGGTAAGCCGATGGATGTGCCCAAGCTGTGCTGAGTGACTTACCCCTTGAGCCAACCTTTACCAGAGAGATTAACTACCTGCATGAATTTGAATTTTAACATAGCAACAACCTCTTGATCAAGGTAACCTCTGAGTATGGAAGTCAACATTTGTTTTTCTTCATTCGTGACTGAGTGTTCATTATCGCATCTGATGTTGTCAATATTAGTCTTCATCTCGGATCCATTGCAAAATGATTGTTTTCATTTTACACAAATATAGCACTGAAGAACGTGTCGTGCTAGTTTTTACACACATATCGATGGGAAATTATTGCCTCATGCTGAGTTCATGACAATATCGAGGTATTAGGTCGACAATATTCGAAATAATCGTTTCACCCAAAATAAAATTGATTATTTTGCTTTTGAGGATCGCTTCTGATTTTGACAATTTCGGGTTGCATAATCAAGCACTGTTGAATATCAACAAATTCGTATTCACTGATGCATAACGAACTCATTTGTTCATTTCAGTCGTACGTGATAACGAAGATTATCAAAACAAACGCAATTCATCTACACTGGGTTGAAGTGCTATTCCTTTCGTGCGATGGTAAATGATAAAAACAGACACTGACTGTAAGTATGGAAAATATCTAAAAACCATCCTACTTGTATCGTCCGTCGCATTACACTTCGCAATCATTCGCAATGGCATCCAAGTCTAATATTAAGGTTCTTAAGATATGTCTTCTTGAAATAGCAAGTGTAATAAGAAAGACTCTGCATGGGAGCATACTAAACGACAGTTTTCGTGAACCATTTGAATTAACAATGGCTCTGTTGGATCAGTACATGGATACTGATGACTCAAAATCAAACAAAAATCCTGGTTTTGATTTCAATCTTGGGAAAACAAGTGGAACCAGAGCCCTCCGATTTACCAAAATCTAAAAATTATGCCTCAAAAGTAGATAAATCACAGTACTCTAAATTATATTTGCCAAATAACATTTTATTGTTCTACTGTTTTGCACTATCATCAACAACAAAAAAACTGCTCTAATTCACAACATCGAAAATCCCATTACTTACAATTTGATTCCCTCCTTCTCGGCTTCGGCCAGGTATTGCTCAACGTACTTGTTATCCGGATCAAAACGAGCCCGCAGAACCTTAAATTCTTCTGGGCGGTTCTCGGTCGCGTACTTGATGGCACGAGTTCCAGAATCACGTTGCTTCTGACTGCACTTGGCACAGTTCGTCTCCAGAGCTTCCGGCAGCACACGCTTTAATTCGTTGCCCTCGGGAGTGCATGGTCCGGCATCCGTCAGGCAGTTGTAGTAGTTCTTGAACAGACGGTCCGACATCAGGATCTCGTCCAGGTTGATGTTGTCGAACTTGGTCGTGTACATGCTTTCGTCCTGGGCAGCAGCCACGGCAATGAGGGCCAGAATGACAACAAAGCACTTCATGTTGCTGGAATTGACTAGGGATCTGAAAGTAATCGTGATCTGTTAGAAATCGTCGCACATCTAGAAACGCATCAGGTATGTACCTTGCTTGGAAGACAAAAATGAACTATGCTCTCCACTGGCACGGATTCAGCTTTTTATAATCATATACCATCAAATTGGCCAAGTGACTTTCTTCCTTGAAACAGACGTTTTCCTTCGCACCTTCAATGCTCACCATTCTATGTAACCCCATGAGCAACCTACTGCTTAGTGTACTCCGTATTGCGTGATTCAATTGTTCGTAACGAAAGTGTTGACCTTGAGCTAATGGTTCAACATGTGCGAAAAAACCTACCCCTGCTGGAGAATGCGCAAAGGAACCAACACAAAACCATTAAACCGAGCCGAATGTTCAATTTGGATGCTGCGAAACGTGTCTAGATAATTGCATGGATGCGAAAAATTGACCCGCAAGTAGGAAGCCCATGAAGTAATTTTCGATGTGCGATGCGAACCGGGGCAATTCGAGATAAAACTATCAGTACATCTTCGGTCTAAAATTCAATTATCAGTAACTTTCAAGACTTAAGCAATGCACATTTGACTCCATTTTTTTTTCTTAAACTGCTTAAACCCTGACTTATTGATACTCTTCGGTTATAGGCAAGCATTATGACGTATGAATACACTCAATTTGCAGCTCCTCTCCTCAGTGCCGGCTCCGGCTACAACCATCAAATTCGCCAAATTGGCACCTATGTAGACAGCAACGAACACCACCTCCATTGTGAGCATATTGGTACATACACCACAATGATGTTACTGCATGTATACTGGCCTCAGTGTCCAGGGAAAGGAGGCAAGCCGAATAGTTCCAAACTTGTATGACTATATATATTGCCGTGGCTTCTGCAGAGTGCATAGTTCATATCTGTCCTGCAATCTAGTAAGGTGTGAGCATCTAGTTTCAAGTATTGTTCAAAGAATTTATTTTCAAACCCAGTTTCGTATATCTAGGCTTCAACCTTTCGCAATCATGAAATTCTTCGTCGTCGCTCTGGCCCTGATCGCCGTGGCTGCTGCCCAGGACGAAAGCATGTACACGAACAAGTTCGACAACATCAACCTGGATGAGATCCTGCAATCGAATCGTCTGTTCAAGAACTACTACAACTGCCTGACGGATGCCGGACCATGCACCCCCGAGGGCAATGAACTAAAGCGTGTCCTGCCGGAAGCTCTGGAGACGAACTGTGCCAAGTGCAGTCAGAAGCAGCGTGAATCTGGGACTCGTGCCATCAAGTACGCGACCGAAAACCGCCCAGAAGAATGGAAGGTTCTGCGGGCTCGTTTCGATCCGGAGAACAAGTACGTCGAGCAATACCTGGCCGAAGCCGAGAAGGAGGGAATCAAACTGTAAATGTTGGTTCGATTAGTGAAAACTGTGTGCTGGATGATGTGTACTGTAAAAGGCAATGTATCTGGATGTTCTCCGTTATCTTGATTGAATGTTGTCGCCATAGTAGAATATTAAAGACATACCAAAAGAATTCGTTCTGTTTTATTTTATGATCGTTGCATCGTTAGTGTAGACATTTCGAAATAATTGATGTATAGCACAAATCATGCAGTATGATTGGTGTCTGCTGCAAAACCAATTTTTTTTTTTTTTTTTTTTTTTTTTTTTTTTTTTTTTTTTTTTTTTTTTTAACTCTTTATTTGTTCCACATTCAAAATAAATTACATTTCATTTTTAACCTAGGTGCTCCAGTTACAACAGTAACTTACCAGCCTTAATTGTTATGATATATATCTAAGTGTTTTTACATTGTTCCTGTCTTGGCAATTCAGTATTTTAAACAGGTTTTTTAAACCTGCATGTCAGTATAACAATTGATATCTTAAAACTAAAAACTAAAACTAAATCTTATCTAAGTATAAAGGGAATTAATCGTTGCAATTGAGGATTGTAACGATTTTTGCCGGAAATTATTAATTATTTTGTTGGACATTTGTGCTAAAGTCTCAACATTCGAAATTCTATGTACTTCGGTAGTACTGTACCAGGGAGGCAACTTCAAAATCATCTTCAGAATTTTGTTCTGAATCCTTTGAAGTGCTTTTTTCCTGGTAGTGCAGCAACTAGACCATATTGGCACAGCGTAAAGCATGGCCGGTCTAAAAACTTGTTTAAATATTAGAAGTTTATTCGTCAGGCAAAGTTTGGATTTCCTGTTAATAAGAGGATACAAACATTTTATATATTTGTTACATTTGGCTTGAATGCCCTCAATGTGATCTTTAAAAGTTAATTTATGGTCAAGTATTAATCCAAGATATTTCACTTGGTTTGACTAGGAAATTGGAACTCCGTTCATAGTGACTATGTGGCTACTACTAGGTTTCAAAAACGAAGCTCTAGGCTTGTGTGGAAATATTATAAGTTGAGTTTTGGAAGCGTTGGGAGAAATCTTCCATTTTTGTAAATAAGCAGAGAAAATATCTAAACTTTTCTGAAGTCTGCTGCAAATAACACGAAGACTTCTTCCTTTAGCGGAAATGCCTGTGTCATCAGCGAACAAAGATTTGTGGCAACCCTGAGGCAAATCAGGGAGGTCCGAAGTGAAAATGTTATACAATATAGGCCCAAGAATGCTACCCTGAGGAACTCCTGCTCTAACAGGTAGTCGATTAGATTTGGAATTTTGATAATTTACCTGCAGAGTTCTGTCAGTTAAATAATTTTGAACTAATTTCATGATGTAAAGTGGAAAATTAAACTTTTTCAATTTAGCAATCAAACCTTCATGCCAAACACTGTCGAATGCTTTTTCTATGTCTAGAAGAGCAACTCCAGTTGAGTGGCCTTCAGATTTGTTTGAACGAATTAAATTGGTAACTCTCAAGAGTTGATGAGTAGTTGAATGCCCATGGCGAAATCCAAACTGCTCATCTGCAAAAATTGAGTTCGTATTGATGTGAAGCATCATTCTATTCAAAATTATTTTTTCAAAAAGTTTACTTATTGAAGAAAGCAAACTTATTGGACGGTAGCTAGAAGCTTCAGCTGGATTTTTATCCGGCTTCAAAATTGGAACAACTTTTGGATTTTTCCATTTATCAGGAAAGTATGCCAAATGGAAACATCTGTTAAATAATTTTACCAGGAAAGACAAGGTACTCTCTGGGAGTTTTTTGATGAGGATATAGAAAATTCCATCATCACCTGGAGCTTTCATATTTTGAAATTTTTTAGTTATAGACCTTACTTCGTCCAAATCAGTCCCCCAGGAATCATCAAAAATATTTTCCCGAGAGAAAATATTAAGATACTCCCGAGCAACCTGATTCTCAATAGGACTAGTAAGACCCAAACTGAAATTATGGGAACTCTCGAATTGCTTAGCAAGTTTCTGAGCTTTTTCCAAATTTGTGATCAAAATTTTACCACCTTCTTTAAGCGCTGGAATTGGCTTTTGAGGTTTTTTCAAAATTTTTGTGAGTTTCCAAAAGGGTTTGGAACTCGGGTCTAATTTAGAAACATTATTTTCAAAAGTTTTGTTCCTCAGGGCAGAGAATCGCTTTTTAATTTGTTTTTGCAAATCCCGCCAGATAACTTTCATGGCAGGATCGCGTGTTCTTTGAAATTGTCTCCTACGGACATTTTTAAGACGGATCAAGAGCTGAAGATCATCGTCTATTATAATTGAATCGAATTTAACCTCGCATTTTGGTACTGAGGCAGCTCTTGCTTCAACTATAGAAGTAGTCAGAGATTCAAGAGCATAATTAATTTCATCTTTGGTTTGCAAAGGAATGTTTGGATCGAAGTTATATTCCATAAATGTTCGATATTGCTCCCAATCAGCCCTATGGTAATTGAAAGTAGAGCTGTTGGGATTAGAAATTATTTCTTGAGATATTTCAAAAGTTACTGGAAGGTGATCAGAACCGAAGTCAGCATGGGTAACCAATTGGCTACAAAGTTGACATGAATCAGTTAAGACCAAATCAATAGTTGAGGGATTTCTCGCAGAAGAAAAGCATGTTGGGCTGTTTGGATATTGAATAGTGTAATAACCTGCAGAACAATCATCAAACAGAATATTACCATTGGAATTGCTTTGAGCATTATTCCATGAGCGGTGTTTTGCATTAAAATCACCAATAATGAAGAATTTAGACCTATGACGGGTAAGTTTCTGGAGGTCACCCTTGAGAAAATTCTTTTGCTGGCCTACGCATTGGAATGGCAAATAGGCAGCTATAAACGTAAGTTGTCCAAATTTTGTTTCAACAGAAACTCCCAAAGTTTCAAAAACTTTGGTTTCAAATGAAGAAAGAATTTTATGCTTGATTCGTCTATGAATAATGATGGCAACGCCACCACAGGGTCCATCAAGACGATCATTTCTATAAATCAAGTAATTTGCGTCCTTCTTAACCTTATGGTCAGGTTTAAGGAACGTTTCAGTTATAACGGCAATATGCACGTTATGAACTCTCAAAAAATTAAATAGCTCGTCTTCATTATCTTTAAGAGATCGAGCATTCCAATTTAAAATGTTTAATGCTTTAAAATCCATTACTGAATTTTAAAGTCATGACAATATTATTAGCAAATTTTACTCCAGTTTGAATAGCATCAAACATGGAGTTAGATTTAAGCATATCAGAAATCATGTCAATTAATGAATTCTGTAAAAATTCCATTTTAGGGGCAGTAATGCTTCCTAAGTCAAAATTGTCAAAATTTCCGTTAGAACGTTGGTTAGTATTTTGATTTCTACCCGCTGCAATAGCAGCATAGGTAGCTCCATTAACTCGCTGAACATTGTTAGCAGCGAGGGGAGTAGGTACAGATGAAACATTTGAAGCAGGGGTGATATTTGTACCTAAGGGTACGAATGTAGAATTTGTTCCTCGCTGACCGTTGTTAACAGCAGAGGAATTTGTACCTGGTCGGAAACGTGGAGCGTTTCCTACCTGTCGGTTAGAACGAGATTGTAGGATCGCTTTGCGAGTCTTACATTCCCAAAAATTGGATTTGTGGTTTTCACCACAATTTGAACATTTAAATTGATTAGGATCTTCCTTCACAGGACAGTCGTCCTTTGCGTGAGAGGAATCACCACAATTCATGCATTTAGCTGGCATGTAGCAATTTTTAGTTCCGTGACCCCATCCCTGGCACTTACGGCACTGAGTGAGGTTTTGGAAATTTCCTCCAGTCTTCCTGAAGTGTTCCCACTTCACTCGGACATGGAGCATAAGGCTAGCTTTTTCTAAGGCCTTAAGGTTGTTTAGTTCACTAGACTTGAAGTGAACTAAATAAAAATCATTAGAAATCCCGTTGCGCGAATCGCCAGGACGGGATTTCATATTCATTTTGATTACTTGGAGTGGCACAACTCCAAGTAATTTTGCCAGTTCATCTTTGATCTGATCCAGGGATTCACCACTGGGCAGTCCTTTCATGACAACCTTGAACACACGTTCAGTTTTGGTGTCGTAAGTAAAAAATTTGTGCTTCTTCTCAGTAAGATACTTGAGAAGACATTTAAATCCGTCCAAGGTTTCAGCCAATACACGGCATTCACCCCGACGTCCAATTTGTAGTGAAAACTTAACTTTCACGAAATTCAAAAGTTCCATGCGAAGAGCATGGAAATCGGTAGTGGTTATCACAATAGGGGGAATCTTTTCCTTCTTGGCATTAAGCCGGGAAAGTTTACTAGAATTTTTCTTGGATGATGGATCATTCTCATCATCCGTGAGCAAATCAAATTGATTACTCAAATTAATTTCTTCAGAAGGGGGGTCAAGAGTTTGCCCCTTTCTTTTGCGTTTAGGCGCCATGGCGGCAGTAAATTTTTTATCCAAATCGGCTTCCAAGCAGATTACTATAAGAATCTGAAGGATCGAAGAGGAATTTTCCAAATCGATATCCAAGAAGGATTACCTCGGGTAGGGTCCAAACAAGGATCGAAGAGGAATAAGAGGAGTTGAACAAAGTAGAAAATTTTTACAGGTTGAGCACTGGAAAGTGCGATTATGCTATTATCCAAATCGACTTCCAAGCAGATTACTATAAGAATCTGAAGGATCGAAGAGGAATTTTCCAAATCGATATCCAAGAAGGATTACCTCGGGTAGGGTCCAAACAAGGATCGAAGAGGAATAAGAGTTGAACAAGGTAGAAATTTTACAGGTTGAGCACTGAAAAGTGCTGTTTAAATTTGTTGTAGCTTTAGGTAGTAGTAACACTTCCTTAAGCAAAAAGCAAATAGATCCGCACGGCAAGAGAGCACGATGCGGACTCGAGCTGCAAAACCAATAATAATACTCAGGCCACATTGTATGAGGTGACAACTCTCCATGCAAATTAAATGGAGAGTCTCACACGACGTCACTTTTGTCACCTCACTAGTGAGAGAAAGCCACAGGACTCGCAAAATAGGCCTGACTGATCAAACCGAAATTGTGGCTTAATTCAATATGACCGCCAGAAATTTTAAATATTCCAGATGAAAGTCCTGA